GAGGCTGCGGGAGGACTGAGTGGTGTGTAAAGTACTCGCAACCACGTCCAGCACACAACCTCACTATATGAGTATTTGTTGGACACAAGAGGACGTTCTGACGTCTGACCGGGGTGCGGGAAGGGTCCCACGACAGCAAGTACCCAGCATGTAGCGGCATCAGAACTGGGGAGGTGGATGGGGCGTGGGTGGGACTCAGCCCAGCACACGCTGTGTCAGGCCCGCACACACGTGTGCACACCCGGGAAGCAGGGGTGCCTGCTGTTCAGGTGAGGCCAAGGGTACAGCACCCCTGCGGGGCAGGTCTGACCCAGAAATCCCACCACTGAGTTTCAGGGAAGAATTTGGCCGCCTCGGAGCCCCTCGCTCAGGAGGGCTCTTCCTACAGACGTGGAGCTAGGTGTTGGGGACCCGTGTGGGCAGAGCTGGGCATAACCTCGCCCAAGCTTCTGGCAGCCCCCGAAACACAGTGCCGCCCCCGGATGGCTTTATACCACAGAAGTGTGTTGTCTCGGTTCCATAGGCTGGACGTCTGAAATCAAGGTGTCCTGGGGCCCTTCTCCCTCCGAGACTCCACACAGAGTCCTGCCCGGTCTCTCCCGGCTCCTGCTGGCCAGCAGCCCTAGGCGTCCCTTGCCGTGGAGACATCCCCCCGCCTCAGCCTTTGCCTTCCCAGGACATCGTCTCCATCTGTCTCTGGGGCTCTTTTCCTGTCCTCATAAGGACTCCAGTCAGATGGGACTGGAGCCCACCCTCCTCCAGGATGACCTCGTGTAAAGGACACCTGCAGTGACCTTGTTTCCAAACAAGGTCACAGTCCCAGGTACCAGGGATTAGGACACAGCATATCCCTTCCACCCACCACACGGTTTAAAGGGGAACCTATGATTCTCCTGTTCAATAAGGTATTCCCCTACGGAGAGCCGGGAAGCGCATGTCGTGCGCACTGAGGAAGCGGACAGTTCCAAAGTACAATGCTTGTCTGACCGGACACGGGCTATTTGTCAAATTGGTCATTCTGTATTTTTAAAGATTTTTTTATTTGAGAGGGAGAGAGAGAAGGAGCGGGGGAGGGGTGGAGGAAGAGGAAGTGAGACTTTTTTTTTTAAGATTTTACTTATTCATTTGAGAGAGAGAGAGTGAGAGAGCGCGTGAGTGCTGAGAAGGTCAGAGGGAGAGGCAGACTCCCCATGGAGCCGGGAGCCCGATGCGGGACTCCATCCCGGGACTCCGAGATCATGACCCGAGCCGAAGACAGTTGCCTAACCAACGGAGCCACCCAGGCGCCCAGGAAGTGAGACTCTTTCAGCAAACTCCCAGCTGAGCGCGGAGCCCAATGGGGGGAGGGAGGGCGCTCCAGGATCCAGGAGCACCCTCCCTGATCCAGATCCCAGGACCTGAGATCATGACCTGAGCCGAAACACTTAGCCATGCTCCACCCGGGAACCTAAAGTTGGTCATTCTTAACCAGAATGTACACCAAACCCACCCCTGGAGCTTTTGCAGAAAAGACACCTGTGCCTGCCCCACCCCTACCCCCGCCCGACCCCAGCCTTGACCCCAGGAAACACAGACTGTTCTGCCTAGAGTGGAGCCTGGGTCTGTACTGAAAATCACGCGCCACTCCTGTGAGCTTCCCTGCGGACAGCCCTGGTGGTGCCAGGCTCCCGCCGTGGGGCCACACGGGGTCCCCTCTCCTGCCGCACCTGCCAGCCGCTCGGGGACACAGGAGAATTCCTCTTATTGCTGGATCAGCCTGTCTCAGCTTGAGCCCAGGGAGATCGTGTTCTTCTGGATAAGCCCTAACATTGATGGTCGTGAGTCAGTAACATTCACACAGCGGAGTCGGCTTCCCTACGGCGCGGTGACAAGACGTGAGGGACGTCGGCCTGGATCCCTCTGCGAGCCTCGGCGTGTGGAAAGAGCTTTCCGCCCTCTGACGGGGGGCGGTCGGGACTCATTGATGGCTCCAAATGTATTTTTCTTGTTTGATTCTAAAATGGTCCCTGGACAGGACAGGCAAGGAGAAGGCAACGTCCAGAGTCCGGTTTCGCAAGTGATTCGTACGCGCTCAGAGGGGCAAGCTTCCTGTCCTGTTGCAAGACGGGGGCTCCTGCAGTTAATCTAGCTGGAGAGATCCTTGTGTTTTTCCCCCTCTGCAGAACTCTGTCTCGAAGCTGCTTTTGGTTCATGGGATTTAAGCCAACTGCCTCATTAGGCTGGAGATCCTGAAGAAAAGGTTTGCAGAATAGGGACGTTCGTAATTAACCAAAAATGCCCACATTTCATCCGCCTGGTCCTTCTCCCCTTAGTTCCTGTACCTCATTATCTCTTTATTGAGAAACTAACACAGAAAACTAAAAATGCCAAAGAACAGTGTGTTAAGGGGCATTTGGGGAAAGTAGGGTGTGGGCCCTGGTCCCATGGGGCCCCGCCCAGTGTTGTCCATCGTCTCACCACGGGATGGAACCAGAAGGAACTAACGTCGGCCGACTACATAGCCCGGTGTCTGCCACCCTGCACTGTGGGGTCTCTGAGCTCCCTCCCCCCAGCACAGGCTGAAGTCTGAAGTGACCCTGTTCTTTTTTACATCCAGATTCTCTGCACAGCGCATCGAGCTCAGTGGCAGGGCGCTGGCTCTGCTGATGGCGTGGACAGAAGCAGATGACTCTCTCTCAACCCAGAGTCAGGCCAGGCCTTCCCCCGTATTCATTCTGTCTCCTGAGGGCGAGTCTGGAGGCAGGATGCACACAAGGAGGGGGGCAGGGGATGGGAAGCGGCTTCCTCACGGGCCTGGCCCCCACCCCGTGCTCCCGCACCGGGGGGCCTGACATGGGCGGGGTACCAGCCCTCCCCTTTTAGGGGATTGCTCGTGCTGGTGTTTGTTTTCGTCAAAACCTTCTTCATTTACAAAGGCTGGAGACTCCTGAGCCCGCCGTGAGTCCCCGTGGGCAGAAACCGCTGATCTCGGCAGACACTGCTTCCTGCCCGAGCCCCTTCAGATCCGCTCCCTCTCTGGGCTTCCCCTCGCCGTGACCGGCCCCTCCCCACAGCCCTGCAGCGGCAGAGTGACTGAGCAGACCCGCCACAAGCGCGGTGCCACTCCGCCTCCTTTCTCCGGCAGACCGTCTGCAGCTCTGCTCACCGTCCGGCGCCAAGTCGCGGAGTCCGGTGCTCCCTGTGCCCGCGCCTCTGAACCAGCTCATTCCAGACTCACACCTGAAAGTCACTTTGCCGGCTGCCGGAGACGCTGGAAACTTCCAGGCTCCAGAGGGGCGGCCTTCTTCCTTTCTGCTGTTGTTGTTCCCAACCTCAGGAGACCTTCGGGCTCCCGTGGGCTCTGGAGAACTCTGGAGCCCTTTCGAGGGCTGCCCCGAGATGGCAGGACACGGGAGGTGGGGCTGTTCGGGGCGGCGGCCGTGCCCTCGGGGGACAGAGGCTGGAACTGAGGACTCTGGGGCCCATCAGCTATTGGCCACTGAGTCCCGCTTTCCAACCTGGGGCGCATTCAGGGGACGGGAGTGCTGGTGTTGGGTGAGACTCAGCCATCCAGGGAGCAGCCCAGTAGCAAGTCTGCCTTCCCTGAGTGGGGTCCTCACCGGTGGCTGCTGGCAGCCTGGAGGGGACACCTGCAAGGCAGGGAGGAGCTATTTGCAGGGAGGATGGTACAAACGTGGGGGCTTCTTCCCCCAATAGACCAGGCCGGCGAGCCCAGGCTGGAGGAAGGGCTGCGCCCTTAGGACCCAGGACCAAGGGTTTGCGGCCTGCCCACTCGCAGGCCTGGGTATGGCACTGAGTGTATCCATGGCTGGTGGCAGCAGGGTCCCCAGGACATGGCCATGAGCCCCAGCATCCACCCTGTGGCCATCTGACCCCCCACCGTGGAGGCAGTAACACTCCCTCATCGTGCCCGCATGGTCCTCTCCTGCGGCCAGCTGGCCTTGCCTGTGTCTTTGCCTGCGTCCCCACGTACTGTGTTGTCCCTAGGGTCATGTGCGCTTAGTTCACTTTCTCACCATGATTTCGGGGCCCTGCACTGCCTGTCACCATGGGCACACGGAGCCAGGGTCTGGGACACACCCGAGAGTGACCAGTTCAGTGCGAGTTGTGTTACGTGATCCTATAATTGTGTTGACTGTGACTTTAAAAGCAGATCTGGAGGGAAGTCAATGACAATGTCTGTAGACCGTGCAAAGTCCCTGCACCTAGAAGCAGGGGTCTCGGGCCCCCAGACTCGGTACACCTGGGGAAGGCAAGAGTGCACTGGAGCCGTTCTTTCTGGAGTAGACAACAGATCCCACAAAACTCAGCCATAGCGAAGACTCATTAGCCCAGACGCTTGGCTGCGATGGCACAACATAACGGGGGAATCGTGACCATGGTCACGTGTACTTCTGCCCTGTTTCTGCCACAGCGGGGGAAGGTCATCCACGATCGGGGGATGTGCCGACCTTTGAGGTCACTCCCCTTCCGCACGGCTGTTTCCGAGGGAGCGCGTGTGTGGACGTGGGTCCCCGGCGTCCCCTGCGAGCCGACACGGCGTTTTCTGGCTCCAGGACAGCGTCCCTTCTCCCTTGTACCGCCTGTGGGGCCCTACCGCTGCGTGGATTGACTTCCTGTGGTTCCGTTTCCTTAAAGCATCTTAAAATAATAACTCGCGATGGTGCAGTGATCATTCAATTGAAAAAGCACATGTTGGGCTCGCAGGATTCAAATTCGGGCAAAATAGAAACAATGTTTCGCACTCACGAGCTTCTGTTCAGGGGGACATCGATTCCGCGGGCTTCGCCATGCTGGGGCTCGGTGGTCAGCCACGGGGACTCCTTGAGCCCCGCGGGATGAAAGCGTGTCCAGGCGCAGGGCAGACCGCTCACACACTGCGGAAGGTCCGTGTCCCCGAGGGGATGCGTGATGGGCTGGCCACCCCGAACGGGCCCACACAGCCCTGTTCACACCCCACATGTTGTCTGTCTACATGTCTCTGCTCTGCTTTCCCCTAGAGGAGATTCTGAAGACGCACATTGCGCACTGGTGGTCTCCAGACGGCACGAGGCTCGCCTACGCCACCATCAACGACTCCCGCGTGCCCGTCATGGAGCTCCCAACCTACACCGGCTCCATCTACCCCACGGTGAAGCCCTACCACTACCCCAAGGTAGGCAAGCTGAAAAGTACAGCGGGTGCCTGTCTTGTCCGTCCCAGCGTCGATGTGGGGCTGTCCGGGTACACATCTTACAAGCCGTGCAGTTGATGGACGCAAAACACATTATTTCCCCTTACGTGCATTAAATTTCTGTCTTTGCAGAGTGAATCTATGGGCAGGTTTATTCTGTTTTAAATAATTGAACCACCGTGAGTCATTGATCTGAGCTTCATTGGAACCAAAAATAAACACATCACCTCTACCTGGGATTCCCTGGCAACAGCAGCTCCCACAGCCTGCTCCCGGGGACCCCTGCCCGCAAATCTCTAGTTAGAATTTGGCTTCCAGGAGGTCAGAGGGATCACTGTCTGCCCTAGTCCCCTGGTCCGGGCTGGGCTGTTTTGTGCTTGGTCCTGTTAGGACCTGGAATCTCTGACTGCTTCCCAGGCTGAGTCGTTGGCCCAGAGAACCAGCAGAAGAGCGAGGGTGCAGTGGGGGAGTGGAAGGGGTACAACGTCTGTCTGAACCTTGCTTTGTTAGTGGATCACAGCATCCTGGCACGAAGGCAGGGCCTGATGCCAAATTTCTTCAGCGCACCCAGCTGGGAGGTCTGACAGGGAGGACACGGGGGCCCGCTGCCCCCTGGCTTCACTAGACCACGCCAGGCCCGGGGGCCAGGTGGATGCCAGCCATTCACTGCCCGTGCCTGCCTGGTGCCAGGCGCTCACGTCCTGCCTCAGGCTGCCTCGGAAGGAGCCCTCGAGACCCCCCAGCGAGCCCCGAGCCCTGGCTCCCGAGCCACTGGAAGGCTCCGAGAGCTGGTGCGGCCGGCAGACGAGACACGCCAGCCCGCCGTCTGCAGCGGGCCAAGGGAGGCCGGGAGGTGCACGGGCCCCGGGCCAGAAAAGGAAACACGAGCTCCGTAACAGTGGGCATCTGCTTCTCACAGTCCTGGAGACTCAGAGTCCGAGGTCAGGGTGCAAGTACGATGGGGTTCTGCGAGGACTGTGTTTCTGGCTCGCAGACCCTGCCTTCTCTCTCTGTTCTCACACAGCCGAGAGCGAGGGTGCTTGGTGTCTCTGTCTCCATATGAGGCCACGAACCCCATCCTGGGCCCACACCCTCGTGGGGTGATCGCCTGATCACCTCCCCAAGGCCTCGCCTCCAGACACCATCACACTGGGGGTCAGGGCTATGACAATGGAATTTTGAATTTGGGGGACACGGGCACTCAGTCCACAGCACCTGCTAACACTGAGCCTTTCCTCCGGCCCTTTGAATGGTGTGGCCAGTACCTAGGGACGTCCCAGGCTGGAGGAGCTGGCCTCCTCTGGGAGCACGGCCGTTGTCTGCCATCGTCCAGTTCTGGGAGTGTCTAAGATGTCAACACACACACAGGTTTGCCTGTGGACAGAATTCTCTCACTCGTCTTAGCCAGGCGAGGAATGCCACCTCTCCCCCTTCCCACGGGAGATGTTGCGCCAGAACAGGGATCACCGTGGGGGGAGCAGTGACGCAGAGAGGGACGCACCCAGCTGCTTTTCCGGGGATTTCCCTTCCCCACCCTGCCCCACTGGGCCACAGTCAACATCCATCAGCTCCACCATGTGCCTCTCCTGTCAGCACGGCACCTCTTGGTATCGCCTCCGGGAACTTCTCTCCTACTCCTTGTCAGTTCCTTTTCCCCCTCCCATGCTGGGAATGAGGAGGCACTAGGAGGAATGCAGAGGGGGAGGGTTCCTGGGGCAGGAACATCGCTGGTCCCGTTATCTCTTGCCCTTTTAAGGTTCTGTGCACCAGTGATCTGCTCTCAGCCCAGGTCACTCAGGTGTCTGGAGCCCCAGAGTCCTCCCTGGACATTTCCCAGGGAGGATTTCGCAGCAAGAAGACACCGCCCCCCAGGAGAACTTACTCACATCTCCTCCCCTTTACTTCCCAGGCCGGATGCGAAAACCCCAGCATTTCCCTCCACGTCATTGGCTTAAACGGACCCACTCACGATCTGGAGATGATGCCGCCCGACGATCCACGGATGAGGTCTGCTTCCTTTCTTCTGTTATGTTAAATGAAAATGAGATGAATGTGCATTTCCGGGGTCTCTCCTGACTTATGTTACCACTAATTTAAACGTCCAGGAGAGAGGTGACCCTTTCTAACCCTTTCGTGACTGCTTCATGGTTCAGTTCACTGCGAAGGAACCTCGTTCCAACCAGCCCTGCTATTTCTAACCCGAGGAGGCAGCGGAACAGATGGGCACAGTTGACCATCCTGTTACCGCTGACGTCTGGTTTGGGTAGATTTTTTTTTAATCACAACAGCGGAGTAGGATCTTATCTAAGTCAAGTGGTCTCAGAAACCCGTTTCATCTGGGCCCGAAGTCTGAACAGCCTGGCGACCAAGGACACTTCCCAAGCCCACGTGTGTCATCATTCAAGCTCTCTGTATGGGGAGGGGAATTGAGGGGACACTGAGAACACAGGAGCCCACTGTGTGGGCACCGGGACCCACTCCCTGAGAGATCTCCATAAGTCTAGGACGGGCCCAGGGACGCCGACAGTGAGGCATTCTGAGACCCAGCAGACCCCGCCCCGGGTTTGGGCATAACTCCAGCCCAGGCCTTTACTGTTCAGTTCCAGAACTCCATACTGTGAGAGCTTCTGGAAGCTTCTAGAAGGGCAGGAGCCGTGGCCCCATCCACTGCGGTCCCTGTCTGGGGCTGGGAGCTCGGGCACGTGGCACTGCTGGGCCTCTGGGAACAGTGTGGTTTTCTCCCCCCATGACTTCCTGAGTCGGACCCGCCTGCCTGCATCTCGCAAGCCCGGCCTTGAGGGTCTTGCAACTCTCCCTGCTCCGTGGAGAGTAGAGCGCGGGGGTCCTCGGGTGGACGACCAAGCACAGGATTCTGTGCTCCTCACTGCCTGTCTCCCTGCCCAGGATGGGTCTCCTCTGTGTCCGAGGGTCGCAGGGGCCCCAAAGGCTAATGAGTCTGGCCCCCGAGAGCCAGTCCTCGGGGTCCCAGGGCCTCCCGCGTGTGCCAGCCAGCAGGGAAGGGGGAGGCGTTGAATCGATTCGGCCGATAAAGCTTTCGTGGGGGTAGAAGAAAAGCTCAGGTTATTGCTTTGTCTTCTCTCCTAAAGATCCAATATTTCATTGTTCTCTCAGCGCTCATCCCTGCCAGGCCACCCAGGGCCGGGTCCAGCAAACTCACAGAATTAATATGGAAAGTCACCTGGAAAATCTAAACCATCTGTTTGAGTTAATTGAAAATCTCATTTAGTCAATTTGGTGATGCTGTTTCCGCAGGCTTGATTAGCTCCAAGGACAATGAAGAATTAGCCTCAGTCAGGGCTGCAAGTTTGGGTGCTGATTTCAGGTTTTCTCTGCTGATTTCGTAGGTGAGGTGCAATGGCTTCTCATGTGCCGTATAGGCCTGTCACGTGGGGCGGTCGCGCTTTCTCGTGCGCGCTCTGTCCGTCGGCCCCGAGATAGTCTGCAAAGGGAGCCCAGGTAGATCAGGAACCACAAGATAAATGGGAGCGCGTATTTGTGGAGCAAGACTTTGCCGGCTGCGCACGGTGGGGAGCATAGTGCGGGCGTCTGATGTGGGGACGGGGGCTGCGGGGGAGGGGACGGGGGCTGCGGGGGAGCAGACGGAACAGGTCGTTGCCAGCAGCTGAGTCACCGCTGCGAGGCCAGCCAGAAGCGTGCGGTGGGCACGCTCATCTGCAGGAAGACGGCGTCCCTCTCGGGCCCCGCAATAGGACATTCGGGGCCTGATGATTCTTTGCTGGGGGTGGGGGACACTGCAGGATTCCCAGTGGCCCTGGCCCTGGCCCTGCCCATCGGATGCCAGGAGCACCCCCCGTGGTGGTGACAGTCCCTTGTCTTAGCCAGATGTCCCCACCTGCAGAACCACTGGTTCAGAGCGAAGGTCCTGTGTTCAAATCCCAGTCCTGGGGCCTTGGGGGGTGACTCACCCGCCCTGCGTCGGTGTCCTTGTTGGCAGGACGGAGAGAAACATTACTAACGGGACCAGCTGTAACAGTGAGGTGACCTGACACAGTCAGCCCGTCTCGGGGCTGTCCGTGGTCCCTGCAGGCAGGCGGGCAGCCCTCAGCTTCGGAGCTGAGGCTCACCTGTCCTCACGGCGGCCCACGTGTCCAGCCAGCCCTCAGCGTCTCCAGGTCGCCAAGCTCCAGGCAAAGAAAATGAACACGTGTCGAGGATTTGCTCGAATGTGTCAGCCCTCCGGGAGCGCGAGGAGGTGTTGCCGCCGGAACAGGGGCATTGGTGAACAGCTTAGCAGAGACAGGTCAGGGTCCGCTGGGTGATGGATCCTGCAGGGCCCTCGACGGGGACCGCTGGGGACAGCCGATCCACCCGCCAACACCCGTGGAGGAGTCTGTGCCGGTGGGGTCCCCAGTGAATCCAGCGCTATGGCTGGGGCCACGCTGGAAGAATGGCCACTGAGCTTGTCACCTCCTTACAGGTCTCCCACAAACCTGAGAATCTGAATGGCCTCGCGGACTGGACAGGATCAAAACAGACGTCCCAATCTCCTTCCACAGCCTGCGGCCTCGGGTCAGAGAGCCTCCGTCCTCCAGTGCTCGGGCCTCTGACTTCCCTGTGTGCCCCGTGCAGGATCTGTTCCCGGACACGGCCCCCTCCCTCCCATCTCCTAGTGACCGCCCCCCCATCCCCGCCTGCCACCCCCAGAAAGCTGTGAATGACGTCGGATCACCTGTTCCCTCTCCTGGCCTGCGGGGTCTGTCTGTTCCTACATTCTTTTGTTCCCTTAAAATCACGAGCTGCTGAGGTCTGCTTTTCCAGGATTTAACCCATCCCGGGCAGCTCTGCTAGAAATGTGATCTGGAAAGTAGTGGCCGGGCAGGATGGCGGCGGAGAATGACTCGTCTCATGTCCAGAAAGCCATGTGTCACCTTTCTTTCCTTTCTGGGTGACCCCACCCTATCTGCCCACCCCAGAGCCACCCCACCTCTCCGCGGCCCTCCTGAGGGATGCTGGGCTCCTTCTCGGGGGGCTTGCCCTGAGCTCCATCCGCACGGAGACCCCGCTGCATGGCTGAGGGGCAGCGCCCACGCCTTGGGATGTGGTCAGAGGTGCTCCTTCCTGAGCGCCCCTGCAAGTCGCAGCCCTGCGCCCTCCTTTCCTGGCCTCGGTTTCCTTCCTTGCACTCAGCCTAGCAGGAAATTCTGTATACGTTGTTCACCGTGTCCTTTCCCTGCCGGCCAGCTAGAGGGAAAGTCCGGGCGTGGGGCCTGGAACTCCGGACAAGCTCGGGAAAGCTTCGTGGAATGGGCCAATGAACCAGACACGTAGCCAATCAAGTCTTACCTCGCAGGATTCTCAAAGACTGGGATTTCTTTGGTTGTTTGGTACGTTTCTAAGAACCACTAGCGGCCTCCTTCCTTCTCAAATCTGGGATGCTCTAGACAAGGCAGAACTTCCTCTCTGCCCATCTTGGGTTTCCAGAGCAGACTCTTGAACAAAAGGATAGACTAACAAAAGAAAACCAAATAGTTGAGTAATGCGTATGGAGAATATCCTATGGTGAAAATCTGAAAAGTAACTCAAAGAAGCAGTTTTGAGCCCCCGCTCTATGGCACCTTCTAGCACAAACAAGGAGCGTGCAGAGAGTTACCCTGACAAGGGGAGCAGTTTCAGTTTGCAAGGACGGCCGGCAGACCGCGGGAGGCCGCTCCCAGGGGAAGGCTTGTTTGCAGATTCCCCTGGTGCGTCTCTGGGCTAAGTGTGTGTCTCCAGTAAACGGAGAATTTATTTCCTGCCTTTAGACAGAAAAGAAGGGAGCTTTTTTCTGGGCTTGCTGATGCTTAATTGCCTTCAGCTCAAAATAATTTTTATGTCAAAAAGGCCTATCTTGGGGCAACGTATTCTGGTTTCTTGCAACTAATCCTGGAAAGGTGAAGATTGGACGCCTACCGCGTGGAGGGTTTTGGGGAGGAAGGAGATCTGCGTCAGGCCCCCAATGATCTGGGGTGTGGGGGGGAGAGACACAGCAAAGAAATATATCATATTTTAAAAATTAAGTGCCACAAAATAGTGACCGATTCTTTGAAAACTTTTGCTGAAGGATGGAGCAGTCCCTTCCAGGGAGGAGGGTCGGTAGGCGGGCAGTTTGGAGACACAGCCGGATCTGGGATGTTCTAGGATCCAGTGTTAACGAGGAGTGGGGGAGCACAGGGCTGGGGTCCCAGCACCGTCCGCTGTGTGTTATGAATTAATTTGTAAAAATGTGGCCCCAGACCCATTTCCGTTCTTCCCTCCTTCCAAACTGGGCTTCCAGATTTGCTGGCAGGTTTTCACACTTGGTGCTCCCTCTGCCCATCTCCCTGGGCACAAGGTCATGGGCTTACATGCTGACAGGACGGTGGCCAAGTGGGGTGGCCCCTAAAGGCTTCCCCCAGCTCTGTCGTTGCTCTGACCACCCCCATCCCCGAACGCAGACAGCGACGAGCACAGAGGCTAAGGAAGGCATCTGAACCCACACCGACTGTGAAAAGGGGCACTGGGCCTGACACTGGGCGGGCTAGACGGCCCCACCTCCCTGGACAGCCTCCAGAGAGCTGCGGAGAATCCAGAAGGCCACTGGCCACTTTCAGCCAGTCAGGAGCCGTTGGGAGGAAGAAACCAAAGCCATCATCTGTCAGCCGTCCCGTGTGCTGCCGGCTTGCTAACCAGCCTCTCCGGGGGTCCTCAGACACAGCGAGGATTGGGTCTGGGCCTCTGGATCTTTCCACGTGGCAGGAACTCACTGGCCACAGCTTTGTGCCACACATTGTGCTGGGCCCTTGGATGGCCTCTCCCATGTGTTCGCCCACGGTGCAGAAAGACAGCGCGTGGCCTGTGGCCGAAGTAAAGCGTGGTGGGAGCCTCAGTGACAGGTGCCGGGACACCCGCCTCATGGCGCGGCCTTCGGACGCAGGACGACCTGACCCAAACAGGAGGCTTCTGTGGATGGTAACGGGGAATAGTGACCCCACGGAGACGGGGCGAGG